CCCTCGGGGGGCGCGTTGGCGTTCGGGGACACACCATCTCTCCGGGCCGGCGTCGGCTGCTGGGACAAGGACAAGGTGTCACCCCCATGTGTTCCTGAGCCCCGCGATGGGGCTGAGCTCTGCCCAAAGAGCTGCTCCGTTCCCAATCCCCCCAATCCCTAATCCCAGCCCCCCACCAGTGAATTCCAGCCTTCCCCCACCCTGTCTCCTCCTGTGGGGCCTTTGGGAAGGAGATGAATGGAAGGGAAATCAAAATAAATGAGCAGTGCCTGGGGGTCTGGATGGGACCCAGGACGGGATGTGGCACTTGGGGACAAAAGGCCCTCGATGCCACAGCAACAACCTCGGGCAAAGGCGGAAAGAGCCATCCAGGAGGTGGTGGGATGAGTGAGGCTTCCCAAAACGGGGCAGGGACCTGGCAGGGGACATTGCCCAGTGCAGCGCCAAGAGGATGTGGCTCCATCCCACAGCTCCCAGCGCCAGTGCTGGGACAGGGAATGGGGCTGTGGCACAGCTGGAGCAACCACGGGCACCTCTCCTGGCACCGAGGAGCAGCCAGAGTGCCAACACCTGGGGTGAACTCCTGGGTTTCGAATTCCAGGAGCTTGGAGTTCAGGATGGATGGGTTTGGGAGGGCTCAGCACGCCCCCAGCGAGGGCCGGGGCTGCTCCCCATGGCTGCACATCTGGCAGCACATCTGGCTGGGGTGGGAGCAGCTCCAGGGCCGAGGGGAGCAGAAAGCACTGTCTGATGTCCTGGCACCACCCAGCTCTGCCAAATCCAGGGAAACTGGGAATGTGGGAGCAGGAGGGACAGGCAGGGATCCAGGCAGGGATCCACAGGGATCCAGAGGGATCCACAGGGACCCTGCCCAAGCCCTGGCTCCTTCCCCGCTGCTGGAGTCAGCCCGTACTGGGGTGAGGGTGTTAAAATTCAGGGGCTGTCTGGGTGGAAGCGATGGATGGGAGGGGACGGGGACAAGGGACACAAAGGGACAAGGCACAAAAAGCCTTTGTGTGTGCCTGTGCTGAGTGGGCCTTTTCGCTGCCGGTGGGGAGATCAGACGCAGGGCCGGGCTGTGCCCGCTGTCCAGCACGTCCTGCACGGAGTCCAGGTGCCCACGGGGGTCTTGTCCCCCTGGGAACGGGGTCCCTGTGCCGAGCACACACCTCTGCCACTGCCTTGATCCCCTCCAAAAATCGGCTGCCCCCAAAACCACACAGAACCACCACGGGAGAGCCACAAAACCCCTCTGCCAGCACCACAACCCCTCCCACCCCACCAATCCCAGGGGGTGACCCCAACCCAGCTGGCAACGGGCGCCCCCCGCTCCTNCCATCACCCGCCTGCACATGCAGCTGCACCTGCACGACCTGCAGCAGAACGCCAGCGACCTCCGCAACCAGCTGCAGCAGCTCAAGAAGCTGCAGGTGGGCGCCTGGGGAGGGGGGAACCCGGATCTGAGCCAGCTTTACTGGGTTGGGGTGGGAAAATCCCCTTTGTGCGCTGGGGTTGGTGTGGGAGAGCTCGGGGATCCGTCCTGGGGATGAACTCGGGGAACCTCCCCAAAGCCAAGCTCAAGGATCCTTTCCAAATCTGAGCTCAGGAATCCCCTCATATTCCAACCCTAGGGATCCTTCCTGAATCCAAGCTCAGGAATCCTTCCCAAATCCAAGCTCAGGGATTCCTCTCCACTCCAACCTCAGGGATCCTTCCTGCATCCAGCTCCAGGGATCTTTTCCAAATTCAACTCCAGGGATCTTTTCCAAATTCAACCCCAGAGATCTTTTCCAAATCCAATCCCAGGGATCCTTCCCCTCTTCAATTCCAGGGATCCTTCCCCTCTCCAATCCCAGGGATGCAACCCCAGGGATCCCTCCCCACTCCAGTCCCAGGGATCCTTCCCAAATCCAACCCCAGGGATCCCTCCCCATGCCCAGCTCAGGGATCTTTCCCAGTTTCAGGCTCAGGGATCCCTCTCCTTGCCCATCTCAGGCTGTTCCCTCGTCAGGACCCATTTTCCATCCTGAGGGGTCTCTCTCAGCTTGACCCCTCCTTCTCCTGCTCCTCCCCGCAGCTGCAGAACCAGGAGACGGTGAAGTCGCTGCTGCGGCGGACGGAGACGGAGCTGAGCGTGCGGGTGACGGACACGATGCGCAAGCACGAGGACCCTCTGCAGCGCCAGCGCAGCTTGGTGGAGGAGGAGCGGCTGCGCTACCTCAACGAGGAGGAGCTCATCACCCAGCAGCTCAAGTGAGCCCGGATGGGAGAGACAGACAGGGGGCACAGAGCAGCTCTGCACTGCCCAGGGCGTGGCACCGAGATGGGGCTTCCTATGCAATGACCATGTCCCCAAATCAGGGGATCCCCATGCAGTGACCATGTCCCTGAGTGAAGAGGGGTCCTCATGCAGTGACCACATCCCTACATGAGGAGGGGTCCCCATCCCAGCCTGAGGAGGGGTCCCAGCCCAGTGTTCCCCTCTCCTACTGCCACCCTCGGGGCTCTCCACCCTCCTGACCCAGCAGTGACCCCCCCAGTGACCCCCTGCCCTCCCCTGCCCTCCCAGTGACCTGGAGAAGTCCGTGGAGAAGATCCAGAAGGATCTGGCGCACAACCACCGGCTGATCCCGGCGCAGGAGCTGGAGGAGAAGGCCGTGGTGCTCAAGCAGCTGGGGGAGACCCTGACGGACCTGAAGGGTGAGGAGGGGCTGGGGAGAAAACAGAACCTTCCGGAGTTTCCCTGCTCCAGCCCTGGATTGGTGTTTGCACCTGGGATATTCCAGGTTTTCCTTGCCCGGGGATTTGGGTGTTTGCACCTGAGATTCTCCAGGTTTTCATGGATTTATGTTTTCCCCTGGGATTCCCCAGGTTCTCCCTATGGGTTTGCCCCTGCCAGGGTGGTCCCCTGCCCTCCCACGTGCCCATCACTGCCACACCCTGTGCCACAGCTGCAGAGGGGACACCTCCACCCTAAATTCAGGATAGACCCATCAATCCAGACTTTCCCTGGATCCATCCCACCCCACCTGGCAGGACAACCATGGCACGGGGTCCTGGCAGCCCTGGCAGTGCCAGCCGGGTACTGGGAGGGTCACAGGGGTGACAGCGGTGTCCCCTGGCAGCCCAGTTCCCCAGCCTGCAGAGCAAGATGCGGGTGGTGCTGCGGGTGGAGGTGGAGGCCGTCAAGTTCCTCAAGGAGGAGCCCAACCGCCTGGACGGGCTCCTCAAGCGCTGCAAGACCGTCACCGACACGCTGGCCCAGATCCGCAGGTGAGCCCCGAGGGCACAGCCACGCCCTCGGTGTCCCTTTGTCTCCACTGTGCCACCTTTGTCCCCTTTGTGCCGCCTCCTCTCTGTGCATCCCAAACTCTCAGGGCGGGAGGGCATCCAAGGGGTGTGCACAAAATGATCATTTTTCTGAAGGACCTGAAAAAGGACCTTCTGAAGGACCCCCAAAAGAGGACCCCAAAAATTCCCTCAGTCCTTTCCAGGGCCCCCCTCTTTTCATAAAAGCCTCCTTTATCTGCTAAAGCACCCCAAAAACACCCTCAGCCCTTTCCAGGTGTGCGTGGGACCCTCTCTTTTTATAAAAACCTCCTTTTTCCTTGGGAATAAAGCAGGATTTTACATCAGGACAGACACACAGCCCTTGGCGTGAGCAGAAACCTCTTTCCCGAGGAGCAGGGAGCTGTTCTGTGGTGGAAAAAATCCTCAGCCAGAGAAAAATCCTCTCCTGGAACCGCTGCGGGGTGGATTTCACCTGCCTGATCCCATTAGGATCCCATTAAGATCCCATTAGGATCCCATTAGGGACGGCTGTCAGCCTGGCCGCCCTCTGGGATGGCCCCGGGCTCTGCTCTAGCCCTGTTTCCCAGGGAAACGAGCCTGGAGGATCCCGCAGCGCCCTCACCCTGAATAAATCCTCAATCCCAAGGGCAGCTCCAGCCGGACCTGGAGCAGGGGAAGCCTTTGGAGGGATCCCCATTCCGGACAGGCCCTCCCAAACCAGCACCGAGCCCAGCCCAGAGCACCTCAGCCTTGAGGAAATGAGGATTTTGTGCCCTCCCCGTGCCCCCTGGCCCTTCAGCGCCTCCGCTCTGCCCTAGACAAGTGGAGGAGGGCGTGTGGAGCTCGCCCAGCAGCCTGAGCCAGTCGCCAAAGAAGGTGGCCCCGGAGACGGATTTCAGCAAAGGGCTGGAGCTGGAGATGCCCACCAGCCCTCCCGTGAGCTTGCACCACCTGACGGGCACCCCCGAGCCCCTGGGCTTCGCCCCCCAGCCCCAGAGCCACCCTGGCAAGAGCAATAACCCCTCACGGGCCCCGGAGATGGTGCCCGCCAAGACGCAGACGGGGCCCGAGACCCCCAGCAAGAAGAGCGCGGACAAAGCCGTGTCTGTGGAGGTGAGAGCCTGATCTGGGGGGGCTCAGCTCGGGGGTGCTCCTCAGGAGGGTCTGGGAAGGTGAAAATGGGGATGGGAGCAGTGCCCACCCTGCTGCTCCTTGGTGGAGGAGCGCTGGCATCACCTTTGCTGCAGGGGGTTGGATGAGAGCTGGGGTGCCCACCTGGAGAAAAGGAGACTCAGGGGTGCCCTCATCACCCTGCACAGCTCCTGAAAGGTGCCTGTGCTCAGGTGAGACTGGGGTCTTTCTCCAGGAACTGACAGAACCAGAGGACACAGCTGCACCAAGGGAAATTTGGGCTGAATATTGGGAAAATGTTTTTTTACAGAAAGCTGATAAAGTTCTGGAATGTTCTGGCTGGGAGGTGATGGAGTCACCATCCCTGGGTGTGCTTACAAAGCCTGGATGTGGCACTGGGTGCCAGGGCTGAGTTGAGGTGTTGGGACTGGGTTGGACTCGATGATCTTGGAGANGAAGAAAAATGTAAAAAAAAAAAGCCTCGCACAGGGGAAAAGCGGGGGAGGGGAGGGAGGGGACCCCCCCACCCTGTGCCACCCCCCCGCTGTGTCCCCCGTGTCACCGTGGATGCCATGGGTAGTTGTGTGTGACCGTTGTAATTCCCGTGACAAAAGGGTTGCTTTTTATTATTTTCCTTTTTTCCCTTTATAATTTTTCTTTTCTATCAGAGTGTCTGGCTTTAATAAAATTACCTTTTTTTTTTTTTTGCCTCTTTTTCTGTCTTTTTCTGGCGATTGTCCCCCTCATTTTTACCCCCTCTCCCCAAATTTTGAGAAATTGAGAAATTTGATAAATTGAAAACTGAGAATTTTGATGGGGATGGGGCATCCCCAATTCTGTTATTTCCTCCCCACAGGCTCAGAGGTAAATGAGATTTATCCTCTCATGGATAAACTCAGGAATAAAAATTCCCAGCACCAGGAATTTGAGGTCCCTGCTGGCCAAAGAAAAGGGAATTACCACCAACAAAACCTTGAATAACCAGTTTATTTCCAATATATAGACTGGAGGTCGGGGGGGCAAAGCAGGGGGGACTTTTTGGGTTGGTTTGGGCATTTTTTTGCAGTTTTGCAGATCCCGATGGGGCCGGGAACCTGGGTGGGAAGGGGTTTGGGTGGGACATGCAGGAGGGTTTTAAAAAGTCACCACTGGTCCAGCACGTCCCCTGCTTGGGGCTGGCCTTTCCGCTGAGCAAAACTTCTTAAAAAATCCTTATAAATCCTTTGGGATATGTTACACGGGCAGGGCCGGTATTTACAGGGGGAAATGAACAACAAAACCCCAAAAAAATCAAAAAGAAAAGAAAAACCAACGACTTTACAGCAAATATTTGCATAACGTACGAGAACGACACGGAGAGACGGTGACAGGGTGTGACACCAGGCCGCCGAGGTGGTGGCACTTGTGTCCCCGCGTGGCCAGGCCGGGGGTCCCCAAACTCCCTTCCTAAAGTGCTTCTGGCCTGGAGGGCAGGAAGGGGACAGCGATGGGAGGGGACAGGGACATCCCAGGACATGGGGGGTAAAGAGTGGCAGTGTCCCCCCTGCTGCCTGGTGTCCCCCCAGTGCCACCCCTTCCCCGGCTCCCCCTGCTCAGCAGAGCCCCCCAGGTGAGGGTGACAGCGCTTAGGTCCCCAAGGGACCCCAGCACATGGGGGGGGGGGTCTCTGGGATGGGACCCCCAAGGTCCTCAGGGCATGGAGAGTCCCCAGGGTCTCCAGGGCAGGGGTCTCTGACCCTGATGTCCCCAAGGTCCCCCAGAGCAAGGGTCTGTGACACCGAGATCCCCAGGGTCCCCAGCAGGTTTCTGACAAGGTACCCAGGGTCCCTCAACACAGNCACCCCAGGTGTGCCCAGGTACACTCCAGGTATGCCCCAGGTGCACCCTAGCTGTACCCACCTGTGCCCAGGTGGGCTCCAGGTGCAGCCAGCTGTGGCCAGATGTGCTCCAGGTGGGCCCAGGTGCTACACAGGTTGTGCCAGGTGCACTGGGCTGTGCCCAGGTGCTCCCAGGTGTACCCAGGTGTGCCCTGGGTGTACCCAGCTGTGCCCAGGTGCACTCCAGGTGTGGCCAGGTGTACCCATATGTACCCCAGGTGTGCCCAGGTGTGCCCAGGTGTGTGTGTGCGTGTGCTCTGTGTGTGCAGCACAAGATCAAATCACTCCTTCCATTCTCTGTTTCGTCCTTGGGTTGATTATTTTCGGGTTTTTTTAAATTTCAATTCCTTTTTTCTTCCTTTTCCCCCTCCTCTGGTTTTTTGTTTTGTTTTGTTTTTTTTAATTTTTTTTTGTATCTCGATCATTTTTGTACAGAAGAAATGAGAGCCTTTTTTTGAATAACAAAGAGAAAACACACACAAAAAAGAACAAAAAACCAAAAAAAAAGACCAAAAAAAGAAAGGAAAAAAAAAAAAAATAAATCATGATGCAATTTCTTTGGATTGCAAAAAAAGCAACTCTTTACATTTAAGTGAAGTGTCTTAACATTTTATATTGTTTTAAAAAATATATTTACATATTATATATATATAATATACGTAATATAAATCTATATATAAATATTTAAAGAGGGGAAAAAACAAAACAAAAAAACCTTAAAAAAAAAGGAAAAAGAAGAGAAATAAATAAATCACGTCCGGTATTATTTAGGGGGTGGATTTAAAATCCCTGCTTAGGTTTAGAGCTCCTCGTGGTTCCCAGAGCGGCTTCATCGCCCTCGCGCTTTGTCCCCTCTCTCTTTGTCCCCAGGTCTCCCCAGGTGTCCCCTGGTGGCCCTGGGGACCCTCGCCCACCCCCAGTGCCAGCAGCAATAGCAGTCACTGACGCGTTTGGAATTAATTTTGTTTTTAATTAATTTCTGTTCTTGGTACCAAAGTGAATTCTCTGTAGCAAAGCCGCAGCTCCCGGGGCCGGGCGGGTGGTGGCACCTGGCGCTGTCCCCTCCCCTGCCCCGCGGTGTCACCTCCTGTCACCTTGTGTCACCCCAGGGAGGACGCTGTGACAGATCCCGAGATCTGCTGGCTGGAGGTGACAATGCCATCCCCTTGGGGACACCAAAATTGGGGGGGTGACAATGCCACCCCTGTGGGGACACCCAGATGGAGGTGACAATGCCATCCCCCATGGGTGACAATGCCACTCCCTTGGGAACACCAAAATGGAGAGGTGGCAGTGCCACCCCCTTGGGGACGCCCAGATGGGAGGTGACAATGCCATCCTCTTTTATGACACCCTCAAAAATATCATGGGGGTGATAATTGCCACCCTTGTGGTGACACGCACAGAAATAACGAGGCCGTGACAAGTGTCGCCCCCTTGTGGACACTCTCGAAAGTGTCATGGGGGGGTGGCAAGTGCCACCTCCATTGGGACACTGACATGAGGAGGTGACAATTGCCACCCTCCATGGGGACACCCCCAAAAACGACATGGGGGTGACAATTGACACCTCTTTGGGGACACATGCATGAGGTGGATGACAAGTGCCACCCCAAAATGCCACCCTCAAAAACTGATGGGGAGTGGTGACAACTGCGCCCCCTTGTGGACACCCTCAAAAATGTCATAGGAGGGTGACAAGTGCCACCTCCACTGGGACACCCACATGATGAGGTGACAATTGCCACCCCCCATGGGCACACTCCCAAAAATTATACTGGAGGGGGCTATCCTCAGTGTCCCCACCTTGGTGTCCCCACCTTGGTGTCCCCAAGCTGTCACCGATTTTGGGGGGCATTGTCCCTTTTCCCACCCGCACTTTATCCCCAAGCCATGCCTCCCAGCTCAGTGTCACTGGCTCAGAGCAGGGAGGTGACAGTGACAAAGCAGGGGGTGACAGCGCCAGGTGAGGGGGTGGCAGGTCCCAAGCTGTCCCCAAACTCCCCCCAGTGTCCCCTTTTCCCGGCTGGTGTCCCCGTGAGCGTGATGTCCCCGTGTGCGTGTGCGTCCGTCCCCTTCATGGCATCGTGCAAATCCCTCGCTGAAGCAAGAAGACAACAACAACAAAAAAATCAAAATTAAAAACAAAACAACTCAATTCTGGTTCAGACCAGGAAAAGCATATTTTAAAAATGATGTAAAAAAAAAGAGGAAAATGTGTAAAAATGACAAAAAAAGCCCAAACCCAAGCGCTGCCTGCATCGTGCATGTGTCGGAGGCGCCCGCTGCATGCGCTCCCCGCTTTACTCGTCTGGATGTTGTTTCAAAACAAACAAAAAAAATGTCTACGACTCTGAAAAGGACAAAAAAAAAAAAAAAAGGACAAACTGAGAAGAAAAAGTGAAAAAACGCCAAAAAAAAAAGGAAAAGCAAGAAATTTCTGGTTCTCCTTAGAGGCTGTTTTGGGGTTTCTACGCCGTTGTGTGTCTCTCTCTCTCTCTCTCTTCCGCATGAATTTTCTCGTGAACTGTTTTAAAAAGGAAATAAAAGGAACAAAAAGTACAAAAAATAGTAGAAAATGGAGGAAAAAAAAAGGAAA